CAAGACAATCAACAAAAAAACTTTGCTTGCAGCCAAGAATTCCAAAGACGCCTGATCCGCGCATCTGATCACCCTAAATCCGCGAAAGGATCCACAATCAAAAAATAAAAATTAATAAGTTAATTAACACTTTTTTCACTAAAATTTCTATTGTCTTCGAAAGTATTAGTCCGACAAAATTTTGTATACGGACCTTTTTTGCGGAGAATCGAAGTAAGCTAAGAAAAACTTTTTTTAAGTCCTGAACTTTGATGGACTTCGGGGAGCCTAAGATATTGACCAAAACTTTTAATCTTGCACAGATTTTTTAGAGCATAATGAAACATATTTTTGCTATTACCAATCAAAATTCTTAAAAAGCGGATATTCGGCCCTCGCTTGTCCACAGTAATCAGACCCGCCGGGTTATCGAAGAGCTAGTTCCTGACGAGACGGAATAACTTGACGCTGGTCTCCACCCAGCGCTGCCGGTGACTTCGAGTTGTCGTCGACAGTGGCCTCGATGCATTTCTCTATCTAAACTGCAGTAAATCAAAGTGAAAGTGGAGACGGAAAGGCACCAAAACCTCTTCCTGGCATCTGTCTACCTTTCTCTAGACAGGGACGCCCGACCCGAGGAGCTGAACCATTTCATCGCGCAAAACCAGAAGGAACAAATTCTTATAGAATGTGATGCAAACGCGAGTCACTATCTGGGTGTGTTCGACTACCAACAACAGGGGTGAGTCATTCCTATTTCCCAGCCCCGAATGATTTGGGATGGGAAGAAGTGCTGGACTTAGCTCTAACAATGGATGGTCTTACCGCCGATGACCGGAGAGTTACGATGGACCATCAATGTCGAATCATTGTTGGATACTCTTCAGCACGCGCAGAAAATCCACTACCTCTACCCTATTCCGGAAATAAACAGCTCATAAATTACTAGAAACCTTCATCAATATACACTTTCCTGGCTGCTATCCCAGACCAAAAATATGGCCTCAAGCAAGTGGACAGCAGATTTTAAAAGAGTTGCTTGACTTAATCGTAGACAAAGAAAAAACCAAAGCCAGTATCAGCTTGACTCACATCCCGCACAGCTGGATAACAGTCAAAGTTTTATTCATTCTTAGGCCGGGCTGTCATACGACCAATACTAACTTACGAGGCGTTAGTTTGATGGCCAGCACTACACAAATAATACAACGTAAGGAAATTAAGCAGTATACCAAGAGCAGCTTATGCAGGTGCCCCAGGAGCATTGTAAGTCGTATCCCAGCCACTGAACTCCACATCAAAGAATCAGGGAAATGTTCAGACTATATACCTGCTACGATAGATTTCAGGAAAAACTTTCAGGTGAAGATTCTTTCTAGACGTGATTGGTGTAGGGCAAGGATAGTCGAGGAGAATGCCACTGTAATCTATACCGACCGGTCCAAAATGGACTGCGTTGTGCGTGCGGGGGTGTTTTCTGAGATGTTTAATGTCGCTCTCGTTCCGACTGCCGAACTTCGCAGCGGGACCTGTGTACAACACGAAATCGCATTCATCCTATACACAAAGTATGACCGATTACTCTAGTCTTCTTTTCACACTTTTCTTAACAAGTGTCATTGGCAGTTTGTACTCGTATTGTCGCAAACAAAGTTTACTACAAATGTGTTTAGATCATATGTATACTCGTGCTGGAACTTCATTCCTAATACACATACTTAAAGCACGAGATGTACAGAGAAGTAAATGACTTAGCAGACGATTTCAAATTAAAAGTGTATGGGGAATGTATGTGGCATTATATGTACATATATGCTACCGGTATATCGGGTGTATTGAAAAGGTCCACTAGGCAATTAACGTATGCCAATGGAATGCGGAGTCATACTATCCGGCTAAGATACAATCTCCGTCTACTTCGTTTATAGAAAACAGATACAGACCCGAATGAAAAATTCACTCCTTCGTTTCTATATACTTCTTCTATATACAATGTGTCTGGAAATTTATCCAACTTAATTTCATGTAATTTTTTTCCCCATATACGCACTCCATACACTTTACGACGACGTCGGAACAATCGGGAAAAAGTCCCTCTGAGTTCTAAGCGGAAGTACTGGGAATCGAGAGGGTCTGCAAAGCTTTAGAGAGAAACTTCGGAGGAGTATGAAAAGCATACCACGATAGAACAAAAGAATTGTCTTAAACGTATGAGACCGGGTCATATTTTTTAATATTTACATTGTTATATTATTACATTGAGCATCTGTACAATGGTTGGAGAGGCCATGTTTTACGCGAAAATGGCATATTTGAAAACTGTGATAAATTAACTGTAAACTGATTAGTACTTACTTTCAATAATAGTTGCGTTCCCTAACTCGCAGAAAGATGCAAGAATTTACAGGAATTTACCAGAAAGCGTTCCCGTACTCGGTTCTCTGGCTTCTTTTGCTTTTTGACAGTTTTACAGGTTTTAACCCAGAAAAGTTGGGGAACGCAACAAATATCTGCTGAGGAAGCCATTGAATCCGTTTAATTCAACGAATTCGATCGTGGCACGTTCTTGCAATTTTTTTATGTGCACTTTCAACTATAACAGTAATTGCTGGTTTGGAGTTACTTCCTAGACATGGGAGATGATGATTTCATATGAAATATTACATACATAATAAAAATTTGTTGATAAATTATCAATACCTTAATAACACAGCTTATTCAAGAAATATTTTTTCAAAAAGTAATGCAAAGGTCCTTTAGGAATCTACGAAAAGAAAAGCCGGGCATACTAGCGATAAAACAAGTGGCGGCCATTTTTATTACACTAGACCAACGCTAGCAGTTGTTCCATATAACAAAAAGTGTATTAAAACTTTAAGGATTAGTGTAATTTATACTATATATTTAGCACCATATAATTTATAAAACCAGAAGTAAATTTTAAAAAATCCAAAATAGCGAATCCAATATGGCGTCCAAGAATTTAAAAATTGCTGAAGTTTCATGAAATTTGGTATGTATAGGTTCTTAACTTCGCTCGTTACAAATTTCAACCTAGTTTTGTAAAATTCAAAGTGCAAAATCCAATATGGCGTCCGAGATTTAAATAATTAATGGATTTTTCAAACCTGAGTAACTTTATTAAAAAATGAGAAAACTGAAGTTTTGGAAATTACGAATTTGGTGTAAAATGAAAAAAAAACAGGCCCAAACCCTTTCTCAGTAGCGCATTAAAAAAAATATTTTCTAATTTCTAGAAAATTTAACACTCTATTTGACAGCTGTCAACTCTCAAAGTTTTAATTTGTCATGGAATTCGTGATTAGCATGTCTAATAATGTAATCAGGGGCATTTAAAATTTAAAATTTCTTTTTTATAAAAAATCCCAGTCCATTTGACAGCTGTCAACTGTAAACGTTTCAATGCGACCAGCGTGCCTAAAAAACTAATCAGTGGTATTTTCAAAACGATTTTCTTATTTTTAGAGAAACTGGGAGTTGATTTGACAGCTGTCAACTGTCAAACTAAAAATTGTATGGCATATTCGGATTTAGCACAACAAAAATACTACGACCCTGCATTTTTATTATAATCGTAACAGCCCTTCTAATTTTTCGCGTAAAACATAGCTCCTCCGGCCACTGTGAGATGGGTAAAAGATTACTGAAATCTCCAATGTGGGACTCCAAGAGCTCCTTAGGTTCACTAAGAACGGTGACAGCCTAAATGATAGCTATTACAAGGCAAGCTAAGGTTCGACCCCGACCTCGCATCTGGTAACGCTGGGGCCAAAAGGTCTATTAACCCACAATTAAAGAGGTTTGACATTACCAGTTGATGGGCAACCGCTCTTAGAAAAAACCTTTCGGCTGTTACGCCGAGCAGGGATCAAATCAAAGTTGTAACCTTCCGAGTGGCAGCACGCATTGTGTCCAAAACAGTGAATTGATTTTCGTGAACTTTGCCCCCTTTTCGTGAACTTTCCACCAAAAAAAATAAAAAATAAATAAAAACACAATGCTTATATATTTAGCGAAAAAAAACAATTATTTTTTTCAGATCTTCTGTTTTTAAATTACAAGGTTGTGTAGTTTAATAACAATAAAATTTTAAGTTAGCATAGTTTACGTTTAATATAATTTAAAATAATATTAACAGTTTTAATTTTTTCCTGCAATCACCACGCTAAAACCACTGTCTAAGTATACAGAGCAAAAAACCAAAATATTGAAAAAAATACATGTCTTTCAAATAGCAAAACTAGCATCCCTGTCTGGAACATCCAAGGCGTTTGTGGTATAAAATCACAGTAAAAACTCTGTTGAAATTGTTATTACAATTACATGTTTTGGACTGTACTTCTTAGGCTCAGTAGCGTAGCGTGGTAATGGCATACATATTTTTCAACTTGCGTTTTCCGTTGTTTTTGCATAAAAGACTGTGACGCACTCGTACTTCTAGAATACCGATACTCGTAACTCGTAACTCATAATTTCATTTAATTATTCCCGCTTTTTAGCTGCGCTTCAATTTCTTTGAAATTCAAAGAGCTGGGAACGGAAGTTAACTCTACAACTAAGCACGTCTGCATTTTTGTGTGTGGTTGTATTTATAAACTAGCTTTATTTATAGTGTAATTAGATTACAAGTTTATGCTCTTTTGCAAAGACTTTATTGTGTACAGTATTTTAAACATATAGTAATTTTTCGAATTGATCTCACTTTCCGAACCGATTTACATATACATACATACATACATATATATATATATATTTTTATAATTACAAACATGAATTTCCACTCCGCCTTGAATTTGTGGAAAGGAGAGAGGGGGACGGCGTGCCGTAAGGAAATGACGTTGAGCAGAGGTGAAGATAAAGACATGCATATTTACATAATACTTGAAACGTTATTATATTTGTGCTGGCGATATGTTTCATGCCACTTCTACATTCATTTGGTATGGGTTTATTCCTGTTATATCATGAAATGAATCTTTGTTTTTAATTTGCTAATTTCATCTTCCGATTTGTTTTTCTTGGTTGTTTGCATTTAGAAAAATCGCTACAGGCAGGTGGTGGGTATCTAAACACCATAAAATCAAGTTCCTTACTAAGCATTCTTTGTCTTCACGGAAGGGAGGTTTTTGGGGCGACCTACAGTGTGACGGTCCACGTCGACGCTGTTATATACACCTCCACCTGCCCTTACCTCGCCACTATACAAAACACGCCCAGGCTTCCCTCGAGAAACACACCAGCATGGCCAAACGTAATAATGATGATGTCGTCTGCTATGAACGCATATCGCTGGCCCTAGCTCTGCTTACTGTAGATTTTTTAAATTTATTTTTGTACATTACAATATTTTTCGTCTCGTGTTGCTCCCCTCTCTCCAACGCTCGCTTCGTATCTGGTGATCACACTTAGAATTACGGACTCGAGTATCCTCGTTCGAATGGTCGCGCACTTTTGACATCTGTATGCCTCGTGTGCAGATTTAATGCTGATGTAGTCACATTACTGGGCAGTTCACACACGCTTTTGATCGCAGTTGCGCCACCTGGCGTTGGGCCAGCTGTCGCACCACCACCTGTACCGCTGCTGGGTGATGTAGGCATTGTTGTTGTTGTTGTTATTGTTGCTTTTGCATTCGCCACCTCCTCTGTTTCGGTGGTTGTTACGGGCAATACATAGGCAGTTTTTTCGCCGCGCTCAGGTGTTTCTTCTCGTCGCTGCAATGCATTTTTGCCAGTTATCGATGACTTGTACGTACTGTGATTAGAGCCAGCCAAATAGAATTTAAAAAATTCATATGTTGACCAGCATATGGCTGTGGCGGGCATTGAGTACAAAACACGCGCCAACATGCCGCGGAAAAAGCCTTTTACCCCAGCTACTCCATGGATCTGTGAAATGTAAGCGGATGACGTAATGAGTGAAAAAAGTGTAGGGAGGTTTAAAAAGTGTGCTTTTGTTGCGGCAAAATTTTGAACATGTTAGGAAAAACTGATAGTTTTATTTAAATAAATAATAAAACCAATTTAATCCTTAAGATATTTTTTGGTATTCTTCGCGAAGGCAACCGAGAAGTTTCATTATTAAGCAGGAGACGTTTTTTTTTTTTGTAACTATAGGCAAAAATTTGTTTCAAAAGCTATTTTGCTCGAAGAATCTACAAAGTTTAAATTTCCAAGGAGAAATATTTGTTGGAACCATTTTCATGAAGCATCGATACAATTTAAGTATTTTACTCATCTCAAGTCTATTGATGGCAAACATAGTGAAAAAAGCATATATTTTCTTCTTGACATGAATTAATTTTTTATGAATCTGCCGCAAATCTCGTAACTTCAAAAGCTAGGAACAAAAATAAGCAATTTCTTTTTCTTAAATTTTCTGAGCTTTTACTCGATTTATTCAAACAAAATTGAAGTAAAAGGTAAGTAGTTTTAAGAAAAAGCAATTACTTAGTTTTTTCTTTTTTGTTGTATGTATGTATGTACATATCTCCTTACCTGTCGAATCGCTTCAATCATGCCTTTTGTATGACCGTTCTCCTGTGTGTTTAGCAACGTTTTCACTACGTCCAGAGGCGTCGTGAAGGCAGCAGCAGTAGCACCTGCCGCACCACCGGCAACCATATGAACCACGGGACTATATCTCCGTTCATGATTCAACTGAAAAGTTAGTGCGCAAAAGAAGAGCATTCAATGATTGCAAGGTTTAAGAAATGAGGAGAAATTCTTAGCATGCAATAATTAACTATGTACCGTATTTTGGAAAAACTCGTATGTTGCAAAATGTAATGTCTGATATGGTATGTTCATCACTAGTTGTGTGGAATATGATCTGTAGAAAGCTTTGATGCCCTCATTGCGATACACATCTTTCATACAGCCAATAACTGTACTATATTTCGAATTGTACATTTGCATGCGTTGTTTTATCACATCCGTTGGATTCGATACGGCATCGTGTATGAGTGTCGCCACAGCACCAGAGGCCACTAAAGACAGTAAAAAAACACATTAAATACATACATTTGTTCGTATAGCATATAATTTTTCGTTGCAATGAAATATGCATACAAATTTAATTTTTTAATTGAGTTGCATACTTACTATAATTGACATGATTGTTGGTGGTGACCTTAGTCAGGAGCTCTTTCGTCATCTCATAGGAACCAAAGTACAGCGCATGTGCGGGTCCAGCGCCAGCAACAACAGCCGAGACACCACGAATGGGTCTGCGGCGTAGCATCAATAAATAGAAAGGTAGATTAATAAAAAAAAATTATGTTCCGTAGAAAATAAAACATCAGCATTATTGTGCATATTGAATGTACGAAATTTAGTAATTGGCTCACCTCATAATACCCTCTTTTTTGATCATATTCTTGAAGGTAGTGCTGATGTCATATTTGGAAGTTACTGGCGATAAACTTTGCATTCTTGTCTAAAAATACAAACCAAAAAATGGTATTCAATGATAACGATTACTTATAGGCAAAACAAAGAGTACATATGAAATTAATAATAGCCGTAAGACGCGTATTATTAATCGATTTTTACATGAAAGTTATTTTTGCGAAATTCATAGTTAACCTTTAAATATGTATATCTGGACTTGTGAATGTATGTATGAATCCACAATGGTGTGATTTGTGGGTGCATACTCGTATTTGGGTACGCATACTTAGTTGAGGGTAACCTTAGAAATGATCTATTGATTATTCAAAGGTGTATATCCAACATATTGATTTTTAAAGACAGGAGAGACGAAATCCAGCAAAGCACTTATACTAAATATTTAAAGGGTTGTACTAAAGAGTCCTTTATATAAAGCTGATCTACTTTATTTTTGCTTGCTGAAGGGGATCCGTACGATAAGTCAAAAATAAAAATGTCGAAACAGAAATTTCGAAATTTAAAAATTTTGGAAATCTCGAAAAAGGTTGAAAAAATGCAAAACGTCGAAAATGTTGAATGTTTGAAAAAAAATAAAAATTAAAAGTGCTTTTCAAATTTGCACGAATTTTACACATCATTCATTACATTATATGTATCGATATATTTTTTTCGCTATATTTATTTTCGACATTTTTCTTTTCGACAATTTTTTTCTCGACATTCTTCATTTTCTATTTATTTATTTTTCGACATTTTTTTCGGTGTTTTTAGTTTCGACGTTTTAAATTTCGAAATATCGTACCAGAACCTGCTGCAGAAGTCAAATATCGAGTGCGACGTACTTACACTTACATGTGAACATACAAACATATATTTAGACTATGTATGTATGTAGGCATGTACATATGTATATGGCTGTATGCATTGAATGGCGTGTGCTCGTAATGGCAATTGATCAGAGCGCACAACGCCCAGTTATCATTCCGAGAATACCTCATTTTTCTTATTTTATATTTATCGCGCTACTGCACTATGTATAGCTTGTTATGATAATAGAAATTAAATATTATAAGAGGCTGTTAGCAGCAGCGGCGTACTTCTAAAACCCATTTCACAATGAAATTTTAAATGACACTTGTGGGGTTTCCGAGAATAATGGTGTTATATAATGATCTCATAGGCATCATAACAAGCTTAAAGGTGGTCATATAAGGAGATGATTTGCTATAGAATATATATATACACACATGCATCCATACATACATACGTATGAATGAAAAATATTATTCGGCTTTAGTTTGCTGATTAAATTTATTAAAGAAATATTTTGCATGCAAAGATTTGTATAGCAAAGATAAAAAATTATAATGTATACATGTACGTACATATGCCTATGTACATATATGATCGCATTCGCCACATGCGAGAGAAAGCTATGGGAGTATATATTTTTTACCACAAATGCGGTAGGAGGTTTGTTATTACCTGCCGAAGTGTGACCACCATTAGAAAAACGACATATGTACATATCGCTCATTTGCTGCAAGAGTTTCATAATCTAAAAAATCAAAAACCCGAGAAAAACGGTTTTAAAGTTTACATACGCTCCTATAGTAAAGATGCAGAAAATTTTTCTTTTAATGTACTATGGTTAATCGCTACAGTTATGCATTTTTCGTGCAACATGGAAGAGGGTGTGTAGGTCATTTCTGCATATATGTAAACATATATTTATCGATATTTCACGACAAACACGAAACAAATGTTTGGGCAACACCCATTACAAAAAAAAAAAGTTGAAAAAATATAGCAAACAAAGGCCCCGTAAAAATACATACAGTACATAGGTACCTAAGTAAACATACAAGCACTCATTTTCCTCGCCTTTCATGGCATATACACGACTAGCAAAGCTCGCAAAATATTCACTTACTTAAAGTAATTTCAACCTGAACTTTGCCTTATGAGTGGAAAAATTTGAATGTAAATTTTTTTAAAACATTCGAAGCCATACTATAGCTATTCACATACTACATATGTATGTACATATGTCGGCCCCTGAAAACGGTGCAACTACAAAATCGTACCTCGTGCATGTCTACAAAAATTCTATGTATTTGTTATGCAACGACTTAGAGAAGGTGGTAATCGACGCAATCAAATGGGGAACCCTGCACAATATAAAATCCAAAAAAAAATGTACACACTAAAAATAAAAGAAAAAAACTACGAACGGCTATATATACTATTCTATACTAAATAGAAAACAAAAAAAAAAAAACTTAAATAGTTAAGCAATGATGCAGCATTTTTAGTGAAAAAACTCTAAAAGTCACGATTTTATTAACTACTTGAAAGCTTTCACAAACCAAAGCATACAACTTAGCACGTTTGCGTAGTTTAGAAGAAAATGCTGGGCGATTTTAGAACGACATGTAAAAAATCATAAACCAGACATGACACACCTACCCAGTTATCATATAACCATATGTATATTAAATATATTTCACAAGCGTGCTTATGGAAGTATTATGTACATATGTACGTACATAAACATATGTACGTGCAACTAAAATTTACTTAAATTTACTATAATTTCATTCATACACATGCTACGTATACATATGGATGCATGTCTGTATGTTGATACATTCTTGTATGTACATACATACATGCATGCATGGTTCATATCTACAATCAAAAAGTAAAAAAAAAATCAAGAGATAATTACTAGGCATCATGTCAGTATAAAATCCATAACAATAAATGTTGTCGCGCATTTTATTACCTCAGTATACCAGAAAAAAAATAACAACAACGCATGCACTCTTTCAATTACAATCGCGGAAAGTCAATAAGTAGCGCATATGTACGAACTTTTTGCATGCGTGTAGTGGAGCAGAAGCCACGATAAATTGCGATTAAATAAACGCTTTACAATTGCTTCCCATTCGCGTAAAAATTGTAAGTTTCGTCGATTTTCTTTTCTTTGACTTTTTCGACCAGCTTAAAGTGAGGGCGGCATGACTGATGATGCGGTTGCAATTGGGATGTAGGAATTGTTTGAAGAAAAAAACAATAATTTTACTTAAGACTACCAGTACCAGTGTATGCTAGCATCCTACAAATATTTCACATGGATACACAACGGATTTAAGTGAACATAAGTAATAATAATAATAATCAATTGCTCTCGTTGCAAGCATCCGAACAGGCATTTAGTAGATGCAGCAACTCTTTCTAGGCGCGTCAAAAGGCATCTCTATAAGTTTACACCCGAGATCCATGGCAGCATTCAACAACCACTGGACCCGACGCTATACAGGCTGGCCTTCAACGACATTAAACAATGGCGGTCTGCACATTGTAACAGCTTAAACTTTAACATATCTAGACTTCCCTGAAGATAATTTAGGTAGGCCTTCTAAAGTAAAGCCACTCTAAGAGGCCTACCCAAGAAGGCCTGAAAAAGTACGTCCTTGCATGTCTTCTAGAAGAGCTTATCCATATACAATTTACTCGAATAGTGGGATCGTCGGTCCTACTGAAAAAAGTCTGATGAGGAAATGTGGTGATTTCCGAAATAGTTATTAGCTATCACTTCTACCACTTTTTCAAATTATTGTTGCTTTTCCACAATAAGTTTTCATTAAAAAAAACTCAATAAAAATTGTTGACTCGAATGCATAAATTTATATTCAGTTTCATTTTCCCCGAACCGGTTCACTTTTCGCTTTTGGTTTCCATGGTTTTACAATGGGCGGATGACAAATTTTCGGGTGAATTTTTTTTTTCAGGCGAAACTCAGGATAAAGCAGAATATTTAGCATTACAAATGAATTTCAATAAACATTTAACTCGCAATAACACATATTTGATATAAACTGTAAGCAAATACTTCAAAGATGTATGATTTTTATAAATTACAGAAGTAACTTTAAAAGAACTCCTCCAAAAGACCTTCTGAAGTACGTCCTATAAAAGCCCTTCTGGAAGGCCTTCTATGGGTAGCGAAAGAAGCTCTTCAATTTGTGCCACTCCATACAAAAACGAAAGGAGTAAGGAATGTAGAGTGGAAGGCCTCTTGACTATCAGGAAGGCCTTTCGGAAGGGCTTTTCACTCCTAAAATTATCTACTGGGTTGTTGGAACATACCAAACATATGTATGTCAAGCATGTGAATTAACTCTTCGTTTGCTATCTAGGCCCTAGCATTAGTTGAGGCTAAGAAGCCGCCACAACAGCAACAGCAGAAAGAGGGTGGTGAGCAGGCGGTATCTAGCCCGGGCCTGGAAATTTTAAAGTGCTTAGGATTTTCTGATAATTGTATTAAGGAAAAGTTTATCAAAACATTTAATAAGTTGCAGTCTTCACTTTGTGTAAGAACATTTATCATACATTTATAATATTATTATATAGTATATGAAGCATTATTCGCCAACTGAAGCCCCCCTCCCCGATGGTCCAGGTAAAACAGAAAATCTGTTATATTTTGGAGAAATGGGAGAAAATGTTAATTTTTAAATTATGACTAACATTTTTTAAAATTGACGTAAAATGGCTCATAAATCGACGGCTGATTGGAAGATCGACCTATCTCGGCAGCCGGTTCTTAGACTCCTTATTTCAGAAACGTTTTCAAGAAGACCTTATTTCAGAATTTGGTTGAAGAACGTCCTATTTCAGGTACCGCTTTAAAAATGCCATATATCAAATTGTTTTCAATAAATTTTCAGCGACAGGACGTCTTTCAACCCCAAATTCTGAAGTAGGGCGTTCTTTAGCCATTTCCTGAGATAGGGCGTTTTCAAATCGGCTGCCGAGTAGGTCGATCTTCCACTCTGCCGTCCATATATTCTTATTTTTTACTTTATTATTATTTAAAGATATATCTAGGTAAATATATTTTATAAAAATATTCTTAGAATTCGTTGGAAAAATTATTTTTAAATGCATTTGTATGCGAATGTGTTTGATGGGAACGCAAGCTCACACTTTTTCGCTCGGAAATTTCTTTTTGCGTCCGTGACAGCCGCTAAATGATCG